AATATCTCGGATGTACACTTGTTATGGAGCCCAAATCTTGCCTCAAAATCTTGGCAAGATTTGGAATGAAACCAAATAGCCCCCTTTTGCCCAAATATTTCGCCAAGATTTGGGCGCTGGCAGCCTTGTCAAAATCTTGCCGAGGGGGGGGGGTCAATAGCGCCGCAACGTCCCAGACCGTCCACATGATCAGCGAGTGCGACCTGAGTTCTTGACGTATCGCTCCCATCAAGGGCTCCGACGAACCCTATGGTGAAGGGTTTGCTGTTCTGCTCGCTGGTTGTTGGTTGTCGGTCGGGACACGAGCGTTAAAAAAATCATTTCGCATCACACCAAACGTGGAGACCCCCAAACGTCACGAGAGGGCAACAAAGCCGAAAAAAGCCCGCGTTCTGACAGAGGCGACAACCGCGCAATTGATTTATCGCTCCCTAGGTCACCGATTGACGCCAAACCGGTCAGGGTGTGCTCTCCGTTCCTTGTTCTCTCTCGGAGTGGCGTGNAAGTGAATAACAAGGGCGAAAAATCAGTTCGAAAAAGCACAGTGATGCCACGCACAATTCTCTCTCCGTCGATTGAGCTTGCGAGCTCCTGAGCCACGCCACTCCGAGAGAGAGCAAGGAACGGAGAGCACACCCTGACCGGTTTGGCGTCAATCGGTGGCCCAGGGAGCGAGAAATCAATTGCGCTGTTGTCGCGCCTCTGTCAGAACGCGGCTTTTTTCCGGCTTTTTTGCCCTCTCGTGACGTTTGGGAGTCTCCACGTTTGGTGTGATGCGAAATGATATTTTTTACGCTCGTGTCCCGACCGACAACCAACAACCAACGTGTGGAACAGCAAACCCTTCACCATAGGGCTCGTCGGAGCCCTTGATGGGAGCGATACGTCAAGAACTCAGGTCGCACTCGCTGATTTTGTCTATCGAGGTGTCCACAACCCCCAAGTAAGATCAAGATGCAGTTTGCCATACACACGTACATGCAATGATCTTGATCTTGGGGGGGGGTCGCTTTTATCTTGCCAAGGTTTTTTTGAAAAATCAAGATCAAGATTTGTTTTGCCAAAAACAGTGGTCTTCTATGGCTGAACTTTTCTGGCAGGGGGGGGGGGTTTCCCCGCACAGCCCCTACCACATCATCCCCGCTCGGTGATTTGCCGCTATAACAGTTGTTTAATAGTCGACAGCAGACGACTCGTCAGAAACAGAATACGTTTTGTCGCACGCGCTTAGAGCAACCCCGCTCGGTTGTTGACAACCATCGAGATGCAGCCACACATGCAGCAGCGGCTAAATTGCTGTATCTGTATACTGCCGTAAGTGATGCGGGGAGACACCTGTCTGAACTGGTCTGAAGACATGGGCAAGTCCCCTACGCGACCGGCCAATTGTTGCTCGTTTCCGTCTCTCAAGAGGGGACTAGGATAGCACCGGGAGTGGTGGTCGCAGCTGACGATAGATAGCGCAAGAGGAGAGAGCGCCCCAGGTGTACAGGTTGATTCTTGAAGTGCATAAAGGTTTACGGCATAACAGCAGCTGTATTCTGTAGTTACTCCCTCCTGTCATGCCTATGAAGAGAAAGAGGGCCACACCAAAGAACAGCATCAACAAGACCAACCGCCACACCAGCGTCGACAACAACAGCAACTGCAGCAGAACGGCCTACCGGTGCGCTTCGAAGAGAACAAAACTCTTGCCTAGCACAGGTAATGTGAAGCTACGGCCAGCTCACCTTAAAGTTGGCGCGTCTTCTTTCCCCCTGGCGCAGGTCTTCGAATGCAGCAAGCATGTTCGGAGCCGGCACACGGAGATTTCGATAGATAGAGATTGTTTTTTGTGAAATATAAAGAAAATATATAATAACTATTAGCTAATGACTATTCAACGAAAAAGGGGATCGGGGATGACTATTCCCTATCCCCGCCCCCACCCCCCACGATATCGTCGTGAACGATAGCTGCGAAAAAAAAAAATGTGTTGTAGCGAGAGATCGGGGGACAGAGACAGAGAGAGGGGGACGCGACAATCTGAGACCCACGGCACAGGCAGCACACGGGGCGGCAGATCAGAAGGGAGAGTGTGCACGCCATCCCAGGGAAAGGCATCATTGCTAGAGATCCTCTCGTTAACACGGGCAGGACCAACCGAGGCCAGGATTGGGGGTGAGAGAGAAAACTGATTCGCGTGAACTTTTGTCGGTCTGCCTTTTAACCTCGCGCGGCAGCAGCAGCAGCAGCGTAGCAGCAGCAGCAGCAGCAGCAGCAGCAGCAGGCAAAGCACAACGGGCAGCCACGCAGCATGGCCGCCCGAGTGCACGCGAGGAGACGCCGCCTGATCTCATTGTCTCGTTGGGTTGTCGCTCTCTGGGTTCACGTGCGCTCTGCTGTGTGGTGCGTGTCTCCGCGTGTCTGTCGGTGCTTGCCTCGCCTCGTTTTTTGAGGGAGGGGGCACAAACACACTGGGGTTGTTTTGTGCGCAATGTGCGCGCGCGTGCTGCCTCGCAGGAGAGCTTGCGAGCCAAGCCATCAGTAGCAGCGATGTTCTGGGTCTATCGTGTGTCTGGACGGCCAGCGCAAGCTCTTCAGCGCGTGCTCCTGCTCTTTTCCCCCCTGCTTCACATGTCGTAGCTGCTGCTGCTGCTGTGGTGTGTGTGGGGAGCAGGGCGCGGCGAGAAAAAATAACGTTTTATTTTCTAAGTCAAACTACCACACAAACGCTTGCAGCAAACGCGGCAGGGCAGAGTAACTCACTTCCACATGATTGACCACGCTGGTGTGCAAGTGTAGATACTCTCCACAGTCCAGGAGAGGAGCTTTGACCACGGGTACCGAAGTCTGCGTCGCTGAATCCGTAGTATCCGACCCCTCTCGTTGTACCTCATTTTTGTCTGCGGGCAATTTGGCACCGCGTGCGTCCCCAGTCGCCTCTTGTCACCGGCAGCAGCCACCGCCAACAAGACATTATGATGCGCAGGCTACTTTTTTTTTCGCGGCAGACTGGCTTGTGTACCTCTCACCTTGGGCTGTTAGAAAAGATCGCTCGTCTTTGTGAACACTCTAGCTGCTCGTACCTTTGCCCCCTCTCCAATCAAGCTTCTAAGTATGTACTAGTGTAGCGTGATCTCTGGAGACAAGTCCGAGCGCTTCTTTCTCTCTCTCCCCCCCTCTCTCCCCCGTTGCCTCGCTTTACGCCGCGCGCACGCTTTTTTCTAGCGCTCATGCCACCGGTGATTACGCTCCCGATGCTCGCGCACATTATTTATGCACGCGTGTTCGATATCCGAACTCCCACCGCTGCCGTGGTTGCATGCAATGAAGACCAATTTCGCGTAATTGAATACCACCGGCAGCTGTTTGACAGCCCCTCTGGTGCTGTGGTTGGTTGTTGGCCGACAAATCCGCACACATCAACAGATTGGTTGTTTCCACTAGCAGCAGAGTTGTCCCGCCTGTGTGTCACTAATGGTGTCATGCACTCGCCGTCCTTTTGTCCTTAGCGCGGTGTCCTCATGCGGTAGCGGAGCGCGGTCTCCCCTTGCGCGGGGAGCAACGGGTTCCGGTGCACTTGCAGAGATATGTAGACACAGGCTTCCGCGCGCGCAGCGTAACTATGAAGGATGTCCCCACGGCACACCCAGCGGTTACACGCATCAGCAGGGTGTATGCGCAAGTCGCCCACATTCATACATCATACGTCTAGCTTATATTTAGTAAAAAGAGCAATGGGGCCGTGGTTGGCTCGGTCTTTCTCTGGATCCTCTTGAAGAGCAAAAGAAGTAACCACCGTGCTATATAGGTATTATAGCACAAGACTCCACGCACCCTGGACTGATTGTCAAAAGGCGGTGCCGGAAACGGCGGCGTTGGGACGGTGTCGTCGAGGGACTTCCCGAATGTTTTGTTCATTCATGCTCCTTCGTCGCGGAGCATTAGACCTACAAATCGATATGGGGGGTGTGGTATCTTCAACATGTCGCCTACGGGTACATGGGAGAAAAAGCTCAAATCAACAATCAACCATCAGGCGAGGCCTATCCCCCTTGAATTGACCGCCTGGCGCGGAATGCTTTTCGGCAAAGGCCGCCAAAGGCCGCCAAATCTGGTTTCTAGATAATACAGCAGTTGCAGCCCGTGAACACAAGAAACGGCAACTTGAGGTCGAGGGCTCAATTTCTTAAATTCGTCACCATCGTCGGGGATACGTGGCTATATAGAGTTTAGTGTCCAATCCACGGTTGAGGTGTGTGTTCGTCGATTTTACTTATTTTTCGCGAAAGGCCCAGCTAGTCCTATTTTACGTTTTTTCCTCATTTACTTGCAGGCCGCAACGGCTGTATGCATCAGCTGGTTACGCACAAAGCATGCAACGGATTTTGCCTGGTACACCGTCGAGGGTCATTCGTTCGTTCGACACGGTGCGGTCGCAGACCTCCTCTGAGAGTGGCGTGATGTTTTTGGTTGGCAACGCGCGGTCGGTTACACGTAGGCCTGTCCTCCATCGGCCGTTTTATTTTCGATTTAGATACACAAACTTTATTTCTATACTAATTTCAAGTAGTTCCCCCTTCTTATTCTCCGTCATACAAGCAAAACGGCCGATGGAGGACAGGCCTAGTTACACGGCGGCGCGACGTCACCAGGCCGAGAAGATAGAAGTTCCGCCGCACAGCGAGTAGCTCTTGATGCCCACAGCGTTGGTTCCAGGGTGACTTTGAGGGCGAAATGGAACGTCAACAAAAGCTAACAACGGGAGACCAGAGTTTTGCAAATCTGGAACCGCACGCCTTTGAGGGAGGAATCTTGTTAGTCTTGTGCCTAGGTTGGCAACTGCTGGCATACCATGAGCAGTTAGTTTTAGATTTACCATCAACTGTTAATTAACAGGAGAAGAAAATCGAGTCGCCGAAGTCAGTCGCCTACAATGTATCTAGTTTGGGAGGCGCTCGGCGTTGCACCAGTTGTAGGCGGTAGGTGCTTTCTTTGATACACGAGGCAATGCAACAGGGTCCCCGTTGTTAATTGTTGTACGTATGCACACTAGTAGTTGCTTCTATGGCAGCTCGAACGGGTAGTCTTTCTGTGTGTATATTTGTTTCTCCTAATATATTTCGGCCATGCTTTTCGAACTTCACCTGTACGTGAGGCAAGCACCGCAGGGGGAAAAGTGGGGCAATAAAAAAAAGTAGTTGTAATGAACAACGCTCCTTGTGGCGGTCCTCTTGCCGTGACCCTGGCTGATACGTCAGGTAAATGCATACCTATACGCCAATAGACCAAATGGCCAGAAGGCCTGTAAACCGGCCCCGAAATAGATGGGACGAACTCACGCACCTTATCGACAAGCGCGTTTGGAGCTCGATGTTTCTGTTGTGTTTTGCCCTCGGCTGCCTCGTGTGTGTAACATCCAACCGGCACCCTCGACTACGATGTGCTTGCTGACTGTATGAACCAGCACGTTTTTCTTGGCAGTTGTTTTGGGAGCGCTATCTGGAGAAGCCAGCGTTCGACACACAGCGGTGCGTTCAGTGTACATGTTGCTGTGCACCATGTCCGCCACTTGAGCCCGCACACACTCACTACCTGTGCTAAGATGGCAAGGCCGGATATTGCCCCACCCCTAGCATGGTACCCTCCCATCTTTGGTGCCACACCTTTCCTCATTTTTTTTTTTTCAGCTCTGTTGCTGCCGTCATGTCGAACGCATCGAGAACCGTGGCTACCGTAACTACGTCACCATAGTTATGGACTCAAATATACTCAAATATACCACCTGGAAACACATCGTCTGCAAAACGAAAACGTGAAAGTACGAAGTACCGCGAATCAATGTAACACACGAATGGACCACGTGGATATTTTGCTGTACATGTTATTTTTTGTTGGTGGCCCCTTTCGATCCATCTGTGTCGTCCCTTCTTTCTCGACTCCCGTCACTATTCCTGTCGCAGATCGAACGGGAGAACGGGACTCAGTCCCCCCAGGAGGAGCGAGGATGCGGGAGCTACGTGTAGAGGATGCTCTCCTCTACCTCGACCAGGTATTGTTTGCAGCAGTATGTCGATGCTGCGTTGTGTTCTGCTGTATTGTGTTCCAGTTACTTTTTTTTGTTGTCTCCCATCGTTGGACTCTGTCGTCTGCCCCTCTGGCCCCTATCCTCCACTTCTACCAGCTAGACGACCCGACTGGGGTCACATAGGAGGGGGGGAGTTGGACCCCCTCCTGCGGTTCCTGCCTGAGATATTTTTATCAGGTACTGTACCGCACCTTATGTCGGTGCTCTCCTGTATTGTAGTGTATTGTGTTGTGCTGTCGCACGCGTGTCACACACTTTGTTTCAAACAAGAAGGAGCCATCGAACATCTACAAATGTGAGTTATCTCATTGGTCCCTACGGTTCCAATAGGTGGTGGTCGTGTATTCCGTAAAAAGGCAAAAAGAAAATGTGCAAGAATGCAACAGTTACAAAATCAGTCCCCCCTTCAGAACTATTTTTCACTTGCTGGGTATTCCATGTTTTTTGTTTTTGCGTCCCCTCTATTCTGGGCGACAGTCGACGCATTTTGGCAAATATTTGAGACGGCGAGGTGGGGGCGTCATGCAGAAAGAAGGCCTTACACTGTTGTTTTCCAATGTCCTTCTGTTGTGCTTGCATCAATCATATTTGTCGAGAGCAGGATTCAGCCGTCCCTCGTGTTGCTAGTGTCTTGAATTGTCGACGTCCCCGCCTTGTTTTTGTTGCCCCGTAACCTCACGAAAACTGTTGGTCTTGGTCTTCGAAGGTCGCCAGAGCAAGATTTTCTCGCTGGAGTTGAGAATGTTATGAGAGTCAAGTCCCAAAAATAGCAAAACGTAGCACCGACTAGTTTGTGTAGGCGCGGTGGGGATCTGTTTTCGATAAGTCGTGTGTTGTTGGTTGCGCATCCCCTCGCTGAAGTAGCAGTGCGAGAGAGGTGCCTGACGGGTGCCTTCGCAGACTTGTCGTCAGAATGGACTCTGACGATGGCGGCGCATGTCTTGCCTTGTCAACCCTAGCACGTTACCGGGTTTACTGCCGCTTTGCTTCGCTCTACTTGAAAATGTCAGACGACAGTTTGTTTGCGAAGTTTCCCCGCGAAACATCGGTGCACGCGAGTGGTAATGATGGTTGTTTGATAGAACCGCGCACTCTTGACTCTCATCGCGCGCAACGCTCGCCCCTGAGTTGATCAAATGGGAAAACCAACACGCAGTATCTAGGTCTTGCTTTGGAAGCGGGCTATCTAGGTTTTTAGTTTGGGAAGGGCTCCGGGTTATTGTGTTTCGTGATGTTGGCACCCTGAATAGTCTCAACATTCGATACCTCCAAAGTGCCGCGTTCCTGTAGGTTGCCATGGGGTCTAAGTCGTTGCTTTCTCCTTTCTTGCTCCCTCCCGTCGTTCTGACCCGGCTTTTCAGGTCAAGATCGAGTTCGGAGACAAGCCGGAGATCTACAATGAATTCCTCGACATCATGAAGAACTTCAAGGTATGCTGCTGGTGCTGCTGCTGCTAGTGTGAATGATGTCACGTCTTGCTCCTGTTGTGTTTTCTGCCTACGGACAAAAAAGCTGAAATAGATAGCTGCTTGGTGCACCGTCAAAGATGACTGGCTCTCGTCTCGTCCGGTCATGCAGCCGGCGCGAAAAAGACACAGGCGATAAACTTGTGGGCAGGATATGTCGGGACGGTTGTCGCTAGAAGGAAACTACGTCCGCAACATGGTCTTGTACGCAAGCACATCTGGCTCTCTCTCGGCAAGATGTCGGACGTGCTTCCAAGGGTTTTGACTCAACACCGATAGGCAACTCGGCTAGAGCAAGTATTAGCAGAGAAAATTTCTCGCCATACGAGCCGTAAAAAACATGTGCGGGAGATGTAGGCAGTAGCAGCATTAGCAGAAGCTGCTGCTAGTGGTGGGGAATCAGGGCGTTGGAAAATGGCAAAACACAAGGTGCTCTTCTCCGCGGCGCAATGGTTTCCCGTGTTTGTTTTTGTAGGGCAGTATTTTCGTGCTGGGATGTCTAAAGTTTTCGTCATGATGGCGCTCCTTCTTCTCCCTCACCCTTCTCCTCTCCCGCCCTCATGTATACACACGCACACGATGGAACTGACGTCTTTCCGTGGTCAGCCGGTTGGCGCGGTCGATCGATGCTGTTTGTACAAAATAAATCAGCGTTCACTCACACCTCGCCCTCCCGCGCCCGACCCACGTAATCTCGATACCGCTACCTACCGCAGGCCATGGCCATCGACACCCCCGGAGTGATTCGACGGGTTTCCAGTCTGTTCCGCGGTTACAACAAGCTCATTCTCGGGTTCAACACCTTCCTGCCCGACGGTTACAAGATCGAGCTCTCGGACATTGAGGTGAAACCAAGGGAGCAGCATAATGTTTATGGTATTTGTTTTGCACTTAGAAATGACGCTCGTTTTTTTCCATCCTGCGAAGGTTGAGATTGCTCTCGGGCTTGGAGGTGAACCGCGGGGGCAGAATCGTTTTTGCTTGTATCTTTTTGGCGCAACCAAGACGTTGTTTTTTCGTGTCTTGGAAGCTTAAGTTTGCTGTCCGACATTGACGTGAACCGAGGGAGAAGGCTTGTTGATTGTTTTGCGCTTAGGAACCACAATCGTTGTTTGTTTGTTTTTATCGTGGAGTAGTAAGATTGCTCTCCGGCATTGAGGTGAACCTCGGGAGCAAAAAGTTGTAGTTTTTTTTTGTCTTGGGAGGATAAGATTGCTACATATAATGCTCTCCGGCATTGGTGAACGGCGGGCGCGGAATCGGACTTTTCTTTTGGCGCATAGGATCAGCGAACATGTGTCGATTTGTCTCGGAAGGTTAAGGTTCACTGGGCGAGGGATGGGGCGGTTACACGTCTGAAATGAGGTGCTGGCGTTGGGTCGGCCGAGAGAGAGAGTGCCCTCCCCAGATGCTTGGCGATATTTCTCGGGGCCCTTCTTACTGTGGTCCTATTGAGGGGTTGAAGTGTTGCAAGGTTGAATTGCATCCCGCCTGACACCGGCTTGCAGCTGTGCTGCAGGCAGCAGCTGCCACACAAGCGGCCTCTCTGTCTCTCTGTCTGTCTGTCTGTCTCTCTCTCTTGTGTGTGTGTCAAGCGAGCGAACTACACAACAATGTTCTGTCAATATTTCAACCGCAGGGTGAACTGTCGGGGTGGTTGCTGTTGAACATTGCCCAAAAAAATTAAAGGAGTTGCGCGCCAGGCCGAATCAATCCGTTTTCTCACACCCCTATCACCGCCCTCGGTTGTCGCGCCGTTTTCTTCCCCACGCGGTGCCACAGGAAATGAACCGCGAGCACGAGCGGCAGCTGGCCATCAGCCGCGGCGAGATCGCGCCGGACTCCGTGGACAACAACAGCGGCGGCGGCGGAACCAACGCTTCCGGCGGAGGTGGCGGAAGCGGAGGCGGTGCCTTCTCCTCCTCCTCTTCCGGGGGAAACAACAACAGCAGCAACAACAGCAGCAACAGCAAAGAGGGCGGCGGCGGTGGACCTTCCGGTTCGGGAAGTGGCGTCGGTGGCACTGCCGCGTCCAACCCCGCCCTCGTCCACGACATGGTCGAAGCGCTCGCCGGAGGCGGTAGCCACACGAGCGGCGGCGGCGGGGGCGGCATGGGTGGGGGCCCCGGGAGCGGAAACGGCCCCGGTGCGGGGGCGGGCGGCGGCGGCCATGATGGGACCTCCGGGAGTGGAGGAGGGGGCGCGGTAATGACGGGAGGCGGCAACATGCCGATGGGAGGCGGCGGCGGCGGGCACGGAGGCGCGGTCGGGGTGGTTCCCCCCGGGCCAAAGGCTACTTCGGGCGGCGGCGGAGGCGGCGGCGGAGGGGGGGGAGGGGGGGGGCACGAGAGCGGGTTTGGGATGCCCCATCGAGCGAACGAGCCCGTGAGTATTTTTGTGGGTGTGGGAGAGAGGGGGGCCGCCGCGATGTTACCCTTGTTTTTGTCTAAATATGAACCGTAATCATGTTTGTTTTGTTGTCACCGCGGGGGAGAGCAGGGTGGAGCCGGCGGGAGAAGTTGAGCGTTTTGTGTTTCACAAAGACTTAAGTTAGCGCCTCTTCTTGCCGTCGTCGTTTTTTCTTTTTTCCAGTGATGATAATCGTGGAGAGGCTCGAGTTATTTCGTTGGATTCCGCGTTGGTCACGCAACAAATATCTGGTGATCCGCGTTGGCGCGTCGCCCACAGATATTCCGTCCCATTCAGCAGTAAAAAGGCGTTTTTGTACGTTGAAACGTGCCGGATGGATATCGATGCCCTTCTGGCAGTCGTGATGCTCATGTGTGGTGGCCTGTTTTATTTTTTGTTCACGTTTCACTCCGAGTATTATTAATCTGCTGGTGTGTTTTTTTCGTCCTTCTTGGTGTTGCTATTTGTGCGCCCCCTTTCGACGGTTTGCCAACACCAGCCGGCGGAGTTCGACCACGCCATCACTTACGTCACCACGATCAAGAAGCGCTTCAGCCACGAGCCGCAGACGTACAAGGCCTTCCTGGAGATCTTGCACACCTACCAGAAAGAGCAGCGAGGTAGGACGCGTGTTCTTTTTTTGTTGTTGTTTGCACCATGTTTGGCTGTGGTGTTCGACGTTTGTCTCGGCGCCGTCAGCTGTTGTTGTTGTTGTTGTTGTTGTTGTTGTTGACTTCAGCACCTCTTTGCGCAATGTTTGGCCAGTAGTTTCCGAGCGATTTTTTTATAGGCGCAGTATGCTGGTAGCGTTGGCACCAGCAACAGCAGCGATACGCTTCGGGTGTTGTTTTCTGTCGCTGCTGGTGACGCAGCAGGTGTATGCCCGAACCGCGCACACAGAACGATCTGTCCTCTCGACGATTTTTTTTTTCGCGCGGTTGTTTGTTGTCCTCATGGTGTTTTAACTGTTTGTTGATTATTCTCCTCGTTCCCCTTGTTTATCTGCCCCATGTCGTGTCTTGGTTATTCTTACCGTCGTTCTTTCTGATTCTCATCATCGTTCTTTGTTATACTTATCGTCGTGTCGGTTGTTATTCCTATCGTCGTTTTTCTGATTCTCATCATCGTTCTTTGTTATTCTTATCGTCGTGTCGTTGTTATTCCTATCGTCGTTCTTTCTGATTCTTATCATCGTTCTTTCTGATTCTTATCATCGTTCTTTCTGATTCTTATCGTCGTGTTTTGGTTATTCTTATCGTCATGTTTTGGTTATTCCCCCGTGTAGCTGTTTATGCCCCCTCGTAGTGGTGTTGTTTTGTTTCTCTCGTGTCGTGTGGCTGTTTAGCACCCCTCGTAGCGCTGATTCCTCCTGTCTATTGTCGACAGCACGGGCACTGTGAATCCTTCCTTGAACAATCAAACAATAGACACCCGGCCTCGTTCCGATCAACGCACGTCGCCCCCCCCCCCCCCCCCCCCCCCCCCCCCCCCCCCCCCCCCCCCCCCCCCCNCATCAAGGACGTGCTGGAGCAGGTGTCTTCCCTCTTCGCCGACCACCCTGACCTGCTGAGAGAGTTCACCTACTTCTTGCCAGACCCCGTCCAAGAGCAAGCCAGAGAGAGGCTCAACCGCGCCGCCAGGTGCATTATCAGTGGAAGTGTTATTTTTTGTCGTCATTTCAACTCAGCGCTTATAGCACTCGTTGATGTACCACAGTAAACCAATCTCTTATCTATAGGGAAGGGTCTAGGATTACATTGGCAGTGGATTCATGGCGTCTTGTTGTTTTTCAAGTGCCCTTTCCAGGAGTAGTACTCTGCGGAGTCCCCTTCGGCAGGTTCTGTGTTGCCGGGGCTTGTTTTCTGCTGTTATTGCTGCTGGTCCTGTGTCCCGATCTTTTGTACCCAATCTTCGTCTGCATACATGCGCACCGTCTACGTTACTCAGGGAGAGCGAGGTGCTGACCGCTCGTTTGTCGTGTCCCTTTGCTTTGTACCCAACTTTTGTCTGCATGCCTACAATCCGTTGTTGGCACAGGGAAAGCAAAGCTCTGACCGCTTGTTGTGTACCCACGTCTAAATTATTTACAGGGAGAGCGAGATGCGCAAGGCTAAGGCCGCTAAGGAAGCCGCTCAACACCGCGGCCACCCGGGTGTCCACCAAAACAGCAACAGCGCCCCCCACTCGGCCGCGGGAGGGGGCGGCGGCCAGCACCAGGGCCAGCACAGCGGGGGGGCTGTCTCTTATNAAGGACAAGAAGATGAAGAAGGGAGACAAGTCGCAGGTACGAGATGCGGTATTTATCTCGAGCGAATGTGTGTAGGTGGCACGGGAGGCGGGCGGGGGCGTTGCTGCAAGGGAATCAAAACAACAGAACTACTACGGTGGTAGTGTTGGTGTTGGTGTTGCCGTAGAAGTTGCTGTTGTTGTTGCTGTTGTTGTTGCTGTTCGCTGTATTTGTGTGTGTTTTTTCTTTTCTTTTCTTTTCTTTTCTTTTCTTTTTCTCTTTCTCTTTTCTTTTCTTTTGGCGATCCTGTCTTTCGTTGTTTGTGCTGGCTGCACCTCTCGGCAACGCCGTCGTTGACTCAAAAACCTCCTGGTCGTGGTGTGTAGTTTGTTCTAACCCCACGCATCCGTAGGCATCCGTAGGCCTCTTCCTTTCCCCACCCCATACCGTCGTGACTGTTGTTGCGTACCCACGATAATGTCATCACCCGACAGCAGGGTGGCGGGTTCCCTTTCCCTCACGGAGGAGGAAACTACTCGCACCCCGGAATGGGGGGCATAGGTGCGGGCGGGGGCGGGGGCGGGGGGCCCGTGATGAAGAGCGAGCCCTCTCCACCATCGGGAGGGGGCTACGGCGGAGGTGCAGGATACGGCCACGGACCGTCGCACATGTATCAGGTGCGCGCTGTTTCGGAATGCTTAGGGGGGAGGGGGGGGGACTGCTGGGATACCGGGCATATTTTCAGTCTAAATAGTTCAATGTGATTTTTTTGTGTTGCTTCCACGCGTGTGTGTGAGAGTTCAACGCGTGTTTGAAGTTTATCGTGAGGGTGTTTTCGTGCGGTGATCGTTCTGCGTTGCGGGCAGTCGTGCATGCTCCCACAACCGCGCTCCATTCGCTGTAAGGTTGTTCATAACAACCCCACCGGTTGGTCCGCCATTCTGCTTGTTTTTCATGCGCATTTTTCTCTCGCTTCCGTCCCTGGCAATGGAAGGCGCTGTATAGTCTAGTACTTCAAATATTTGTTTTTCCTGTGGTGGTGCATCACAAAAAACAACGCTTTGGCTGTCGTCGATGTTTTGTTTTGTTTTTTCTTGTCCCAACAGCAGCCCTCCCCTCAGGACTCCGAAACAAACAAACGGACTACGATTCTGTCTGTCTGTCTCCATCTCTCCCTTGCTCACTCTCAGCCGTGCTCATTCTTTTCGTGTCTTGCCTCGCAACAATCAACGGTTGGCGGTCGTTTTTTTTTTTTTTTCTGTCCCAGCAGCAGCCATCCCCGCAGAGCTCCGGAGGTCAGAACCTCATGGGTCCGAGGGGCAGGCACGGTGGCCCCAGAAAGACCGCTCCCGGTGGGGGTAGCGGCGGTAGCGGTGGGGGGGGGGG